GGGGGCAGTTCGGACCTAGAGAGCAGGGGAGACAGGTTGGACCCAGGGGGTAGGTGGGAGTCCGGAGGTCTAGGGGGCCATGTGTGACCCAGAGAGCAGTGGGGGCCAGTTTGGGGGTTCAGGTGGGAGTCCAGGGTGCGGGGGAGTTTGGGTCTCTCGAGTGCCTACGTCAACTCTTGGCCAAGGTTGTTCCATGATTCACGGCTTCCCGGCGCAGTGGGAGGGGACGGCGCTCACTGGCAGTGGTCACCGCCCGGCCGTTGCCATCTGAGGGGGCAGCCTGGGGGTGGCGCGATACCCCGGCTCCTGCCGGCTACACGGGACTCCAGGGGCAGCAGCAGCAAGCCCTGGTTAAAGTGCTGGAGTATCATTAGTGCAGTCCTGGGCTGACCCAGCAGGGGGCGCTGTGGGGAGCGGGGCAGGAGCTCTGGCTGTGGGATACTCGGGGAGGGAGGACGGATTCCCTGCTAAGATGGTTGCACTGGGGCTGGTGGGGGCAGGGCTGCATGGGGGATTCTGGCCACGTCCCTGGGGGGGCAGAGGGGGCAGGGCCCCACGATCACGTCTCTCTGGGCAGAGTCACGGCAGCTCTTCGTCGGCGGGAGGGTTTAAAGGATTCTTCCTCCATTCCGGCCTGGCTGGTGTTTGAGCAGCCAGGAGGGTCCTGGGGGCCCCTTGTCCCTGCATCTGATGCTGCAGCAGGCTGCCGGTATGTGTGAACGTACGTGTCTGTACCTCTGTGCCCGTGCATGAGTGTGCGGCACACGTGTGTGCCCGTGCATGGGTGTGGGTGCACCGGTATGTACATCTGTACTTGTTCACAAGTGTGAGGACACATCTGCACTTTTGTGTGGATGCCGGAGTGTGTGTGCATGTGAACATTAGCATGTGCGGTGCATGTGCTTGGCGTGTGGGTAATTATCCTGCTAAGGCACTATGGGGCCTCTGGGGGACAATTGAGGGACCAGACCCAGCCCAGCATGGACGCTGGGGCTGGGGCCTTGACGTGGGGCTGTGGCGCACCCTAGTGGCTGAGGCTGTGCAGTGCCGCTCTGTGGACACAAAGGTTTGATGGGGGCGGGGGAAGGTGTTGGGGGGCTGGCCTGGCCTTGGGGATCAGGTCCCCTGTGCTCCAGTCTAGCCCACGGTGCTATCATGGAAATTGCTACCAGGCATGGTATGAAATGAGTTTGGCCCTGCTTCCAAGTTGAGCATCAGGATTCCTGCGTTCCATCCCAGCTCTGGGATGAGGGGAGTGGGGTCTAGAGGTCAGAGCGGGGACTGGGGCCCAGGACTCCTGGGTTCTATCTCCAACTTGGAGGGGAGGGGAGTAGGGTCTAGTGGTTCGAGGCATCAGGACTCCTGGGTTCTATTCCTAGCTCTGCCCCTGCACCAATGGACCATCTCAGAAGAAAGGCCTCCAAGGGGCCAAAGCCCTTCGCCCCGGGCGGGGTGGGGTGTGTCCCAGCAGGGCTGGGGCTGCCTGGGAACAGGCCCTGCTGCTGCCTCTGTTCTAAAGAGCCCGAATAGCCAACACGTCCCCTCTCAGGGCAGGACTAAGGCTCGTGTTTGAACGGGGAGGGGGACGTCACCCTCAGGACCGACTGCTCTGGGACGCGGCACGTGGAGTCGAACAGACGGGCTGTCCTCTCTCAAGCTCTGCGCTAGCTCCATCCCCAGCTACGGGCTGGATGCAGGAATCCCTGAGTCATTCTCTGGCCCGTGCAGTGTGAGAGGCCGGATCAGCCTGCTCCCTTCCTGGCCTGAGAATCTCTGAATGAATGGCTCGGCCTTCGCTCCCCGGGAACTGTGATGCCGTCACCTCCCCAGCTCCCTTGTCCTCCATGGAGTCTCCCCGGGGGAGATCGACCGGAGCTGAATTTCAAAGCCGCGCCCCCTTTCTAGCTCCCTTCCTAGGAAAGCACAATGGGGTTCCACAGCCCTCTGTGCTTCCCCTTTCACATCACCTCGGGCACTCGGCCCCGGGTCCTTTATCATCTGGTTCTTCGCACCCGCGTGTGGTTAATGACTCAGAGCAACAGGCTATAAATAAACACCAGCAGGAGTGGGCGGATCTGGGCCGATACCTGAGTGAAAAGCAGATCAACAGCAGCCTGTGTTGTCTTTTCGCCCCATCCCCCCTCGGTGCTTCCCCTTTCCAAGTGGGTTTATCCATTGCATGGACGCACTGGGTGACCTTGGGTAACTCATTACCCCTCACTGTGCCTCAGTTTCCCCATCCTCCCTCTGCCTATTGCCTATTGCCATGGCTCACTGTGTGTCTGTGCAGC